AACTTTGTACCCCACAACAACCACAGCGTTCACTCCTGCCACACACAGGGCCACCCGGGAGAGGTTCGTTCAGCAGCTCCCCCATCTCAGGGCACCGTAACCTCCTGTCCCTTTGTCCTTCTGAATCCCCAGGGTGAAGCTCAGGGCTCAGAACACAGTAGGTGCTCTGAAATCATGTCTGCTGAGTGAACTTTGCAGAAAAGGCCATGGGGAGAGTGAAGAAAGGGTCTGACCACAGTCCTGGTACTGCCCAGCTGCATGGCCTGGGGCCATTCCCCATCCGTCTCTGAGTTTCATTCCTCTCACCTGTAGAGTGGAAATCAGAGCTTACAAACTATTGGTCCAGAGTCCTCATCTAGTTTGGATATGTTGTTTACAGTTCATTCAGTGTTTAATTTTATTTTAAAATTCATTTCAAACATTTGAAAACTAGATTTCTATAAAACTTAAAGTCTTCAGCTTTTATTGAAAGATGAGAAAACCTGGGTGGCCTGTGTGGACCCATAGTCCTACATACAACAATTGGCTGGCCTGGGCAGCAGCTAACTCTTTACCTGGGACATCCATTAGCTATTTGGCTACAGTGCCACCTCCCCTCACTCCCTACATCCTTACCAGCTTGCACCACTCATGTGTATCACCTGCCTGGCCCCCACAGGCATCTGAGTTTGCAACCCCTGAATGAGATTCTCAGCTTAGCACAAACTGATTTTTCTATGGCTTTGTGAGGCCTAGAGGTGGTATTACAGGATCCCTAGGTGACAAAACCCATCAGCACCCTGGATAAAAAACTAGGTGAGCTGAGCGGAGAGAAACACTGCTATTTCTGAGGATGACACAGTCTGTAAATAGCCTCGGAGCCAGGTGAGTGCTAACACCTGCCTGATGTCACCTGGGCCTGGAGCCCTCAAGGGCTGGGCATGTGTTCAGCTCATGGCTTAGCCTATGAAATTTCCTTCTTCCTAATACCACTGAGAATAGCACAGGAAGGGATGACATCATAGCTAAGCCTTTGGGGAAGGTAGGCTTTTCTCTGGCTCAGACCGGAGGTAGTGATGACGTTTGCTTTTCCAAGGAGAGTGGAAGGAGTAACATGAACGAAAGAAGCTGGTTCCCAGTCCAGAGTCCTAAGCATGGAGTCTTTGCACTACTGATGACTCCCCAGTGCTATCCAACAATGTCAGACCTCAGCCAGGCCGTCAGAGCCCTCTGCGATTAGGTCCCCACAGGCCTTTCAGCTCATGCTCACTATTAAACCACCTCCCTAGTCCCTGAGTGCCACAGCCCCCTGGCCAACCCCACGGTTTCTATCTTACTGTGTTGTCTGCCCAGGCTTATCTCTCCTGCCTCCTCACCCTGTCCCAAGGATCAGCTTCATGGTGAGAGTGAGAAGGGTTTGACATGCAATAACCCTGATTGTGAAGTCAGACAGACTGGTCCCAGCTCCAACAGCCTGCCCTTGGGCAATTCACTCCCCAGGCCTGGTTTCCCTATCTGCAAAACAGAGCTGCCTCTTAGGCAGAGTTCACAGCTGGGAAAGGGTTCTGAGAACTGAAGTGGTCAAGTGAATGAAGGCAGCATTCCCCTGGAGTGGGGCTGCTCACGCTTCATCAGGATGGAGCGTAAACTGAGTTCCCCTAGGAGCAGGCTTGAGAAACAACAGGGTATGCTGAGCCACCCGCTGTGGCTGAAGGTCCTGTGAGCTCAGGGCCTGGAACTGGCCGTAGGGAAGCCTGGGGCCTTAAGGAAGCTTCATGACAAGGCACATGGCGTGATTCCTCTGCTCTCAAATCAGGTTGCACTGGTAGAGGAGGGTCTGGGACATGTGCTGAGGGCTCAGGTGGGCTCCCCACTCAGGCCTGCTCACCTCAGGGCACAGTCATGAGAAAGGAGGGGCTGCTCCCCAGGGCAGAGTGAGGCCCCATTCTGGGCTGGGACCTAGAATGCATCCCACCTGGGCTTCGCTGGGTCCCTAGGCCCCTCCTAGGCCAGGAATCAGAGAAGGGGGGCTATGAACTTCCAGAAGCCAAGGTAGCCAAACTTCCAGAGGCCAAGCCAGCATTCTCATGAAGCTAGGACACTGCTCTGACCTCATGAATTTGCTTGGCTGGCATTTTGCTGCCCGACCTGTTCCCATGAGCCCATTCAGAATCTGGGGCAGGTCAGTCCAGAGCTGGTCCCTGCTCAAGCCCACCTGCCGCCAAGGCTCAGCCCCACCCCTTTCTCTGGCCCCTCAGGGCTCTAACTGAGACCACTGCTCTCTGAATCCCAAACCCTGAGAAAGACAGTCCAGACTGTATCCATCACAGATGCCCATAGGCACAGTACTTAGTTGACAAATCCATCTCTCTCTAGTTCATTTTATCCTAAGAACAGACCTCAGACAAAAGCAGAATGAGGAGCATGATCACACCCTTACCCTCCAGATGGGAAACTGAGGCCCAGAGAGGCCTGAAGCACTGGCGCAAGCTGGCAGCAGGACTCCAGGGCTCCCCAGCCCTAGCCAGTGCCTTCCTGTGTCCAGGCCTCAGCTACCCCTGGGGACAGTACTAGTGTTGGGCCAGATACTCTCTCAAGTCCCTGCTTGGCATCCATTTATTGCAGGCCTCCCACCACCCTGCAGTGAGGGTGGCTCTTGCTGCTGGGAAGCCCACTCTCAGCACATGGGGCTTAAATGCTCCTGCTGTGGGTCTCCCCACTAAGTCCCCTCCCGGGGTGCATGCTGATGGGAGGGGGCAGGTGGCTGCCCTGGCTGGCCGGGTACGGGGGCTGTCAGTGTGGGTCCTAGGAGGAGGGATCAGACCCAGTCCTGGGGAGGGCTGGGGGCCTGGAAGGAGCATGATGAGCCCAGGCTGCGTTTTCAGTCTTGCTGGAAGCAGGTCTGGTCCCTAGAAATAACTAGAGACAAGCCCAGGCCAGGACAAGCAGGCTAGGGGGCATCATGGGAGGTGTCTCAGCTTATCTCCTCCCTCTTGCGTCTCTGGCTGACTAATCCCGCCTCTCATCTCACTTTTCTCTAACCCTCTCGGACTGCAGGACCTAGGGCAGCAGGGAAGCTTATTTGGCCTGAGCCTTACCTATAAAGGGCCCTGAGCCTTACCTATAAAGGGCTCAAAGGTAGACTTTTGTTATTATATTCAAATTGCAACGTGTAGATGCTCATATTTTTGAGTTAATTACGTTTTAGCAGTTTTTCCTTTTTAAAAAAAGTCTGCTGGTACCTTAATAAACATGGAACCAGCATCCTTTTGCCG